CAGAAAAATGGAGGAGTTTAGGTGATTTGGGGAGGAACAAAATCTTATTTTTTGGGAAAAGAGGGGTGAGGGGATATAAAGGACTGCTCATTTGTAAACAGCCAGTTAGAATGCTTACCTGGCTGTTCCCTGTGCCTCATCAGCACAGTCAGTCCTGTCTTCTTATTAAATTAATTTCTAACTTTTTCCTGGGTGAGGATTCTCTATTCTATGAGCATGAGGATGTATGGTGGTCTAAGTGCAGCAACTGGAGTCAGACCATGGGTGAGGGCCCAAATGTTTGTGCTGCCAGAGACTGGAGTGAGCACAGGTCTGTAAGTGTGTGATCACTTAGCAAAGTGCCTGCCAGGAATACATCTTCAACCTTACACTGGTTGAACCTGGAAACATGGAGTGGAAGTAGCCTTACTGCTCTCAAACTCTTGGTTCTATGTTCTCCTCTAACAGTTCTTAGAACAAAATACCTGGGAGGACTGCTGTTTCATCACCTGACAGGAAAAGTCTTCCGAAGACAGGCTTGCTCCCTTCCTTTCTTCTGCATTGCAGTGCAGCAGCATGAGGCCAGACCAGCACCCTGAGTCTGAGACTGCTCAAAGAGGAGACCACTCTCACTGAGGCTGTACGCTACACACACCAGCTTTGTTTTCACCACAACAATATGACATACTAATGACTCGCCACTTTTCAGGCTGCACAAGCATTCATTTCTTCCTGATAATGTTTAAATGGAATTGGAAGGTACAGAGTCACAAATATGACGTGTGTGTTTAATCATACTTCTTCAATTTCCAAATAATGTTTTCATGTTAGAGTACTATTAAACCTTTATTAAAATGACAGCAACATCACTAGGAATCAGATAAGTGCACTTGGTTTTACAACATTTTGATTAGAGTTAGCGCGACTTCCTATTTCCTTATGATGATATGGAAAAAAGGAAAACTTTAAATCTTCCCCAGAGAGTTACACATCATAGGTTTGTATTTTATGTTGTTACAGTGGCACTTACTAAAACAGAACATTAAAGTTGCATTGAATTAAGGCACTAAATACAGTAAGCATGGCAACTGAGAAGGGAGAACCACCTATCTAGCATCCTAGCTCTCTTCTATTGCCAAAGACCAGTCTAAAGCTCATTGGATCTAAAGCAACATACTAACAGTGGGGCCTCGTAGAGATACAGGATTAACTAGTAGTGATTGGGCTGTGATTTTTCATCCTTTTCCATCTGTGCTTTTAGCAACAGTATGAGAAAAGGATCAGGATTTGCTGAGGCTACAAAAGTAACATGAAGATAGGTGACGGCTTGTCTGACATGCTTTAGCGAGAAGAAAAGCCTCATTATGAAGCAATAAGCAATAAGACAGAAGTATTCACTGTTCCAAAGACAGCTACTTTTGGAAGATCAAACCTCCCATAAAGGTAGTGTAAAACTACTGACTATTGACAGACTACATAAAAGGTTTGGGAGAAGGATAGAGAACTAGGTCATGAAAAATAATACAACTGGTATCCTACAAAGAACATGAAGTGAAGACACTTCCAAAACCTAGTAAACCTGTAGCACACACAGCCCTGTCCTCTACATTTAATACTGGGTAGAATGCTGAAAATGACCCCCATCCGGACTGATAGGAAGTGAGGTCAATGAAAGAGAATAAGGAAATAAAGGACTAGTCCTGAAAAAAAATGAAGAAAAATCAAAGCTATTTGATTGACACAAACTATAAAACTATCACACAACTTTTATTTTTTTTAAAGTAACTATGGATTTCAAGAAACAGTTTACAGGAGATGGACCAAAGAGCTACTCATCTTTAGGAAACCTTATTTAAAAAAGCAAAATACAAGTATGCAAAATTCTACGGGTATTTAGACTATACCTATTTTCCAAATAAACCCAGCCAATAAAATTGTGCTATCCATTATATCTGCATTATGTTTAGGAATCATTCAATGCACCTTCACATTTTGGGATCCTGATCTTGGTTGTGCTGATTTTACATTCAGAGGAAAAGAGAATTACTACTCAGTTCCATATGTCTAGGCAAAAGCACTGTTACATCCCTCTAAATTCAAACTCTGTCAGTGTACAGAAACATCCATTTAGGTATCTTCAAGAGGGAAAGGAAAGGATAAGTATTAAAATAAATACCATTCTAGGAAATTATGTCAGTCTTCCATTTCAGAACTGTAAGGTATGACAGTGACGAGAAACAGACAGCGGGTAAGAAGAAATGAAGTGATGGAAAACAGTATTTTACACCAGATGTATGACAATCCAAAGATATGCAATCAAAAACCCCTCAATCCTTTTAGTGAAACTTGGGAGCAAATATATTGAAAATTAAATGCTTACCCAGGACAATATACTCCTCTCAAACAGCATGAGCTCCAATGCTCGCTGTGGTAAGCTCTTTAACCTACACACATTACAGAAGATGCCAAAAGTACAGCTCTGTTTACCTTTAAAACCATGCTCCATGTCCCTCTTACTCAGTTAGCAATGGTGACAGCTTGACCTGAAACTCTTCAACTGATTTGGAATCCCATTTGCCAAGTTACTTTAAAACACTTCTGCTCATTTCAACAGACCCTGGCAGACCCATCTGTATGTGGATAACTCCCTCTGTACAAGTAAATGTCACTGTGTCTGCAAGAATGGTTACAGTGATACTTGGTCTGCTACTGCTTAACCATATTTTATTCATGCAAGAGTATACAGTTTTTTATTAATGAGTTCCCAACAGGTTCCCTTCTAGAAAGAAGAACAGATGACGTGAGTCATTGAGACAGGCAGCAACAGAATAGGGTGTTGGAGTAGGGTTGTTCATTTTCAGCAAAGTATCATAAAAAATAAATCAGGAAAATTCAAAATGATTTAAAATAAATAAATTGAAACCTTCAGAGGAAGACTGTATTTTAAAATGTAACATGCTCAACTATTAAAAATGCATGGAAGCAAAATGATTCAAGATGTTCTGATGCTTATGGGGAAACTAACAAAAGCACTGGATTCAGACTGTCTTCCCAGTGCTCTGATTGCAGGATTCTTTTCCTTCTTCATTTTTTTGAATGTTTCTCCCAATTACATCTAGATTTTTATCTGCATGAAAACCAGACCATTGCTCCTTGCTGCTAAAGCTGACAATGACATCAGATTGTTGTTCAGTACCAGAGGAACTGATATGGATACTCAGATGACACACATCCACACCACCTATGGTGCAAGCATTAGATAGAGTTATGGGTGGCTAAGCAGCAAGAGCATATGAACTCTCAGGAAGCAAAAGATCCTGGTTATATGCAAATGTCCTCAGTGTTGCTGAGTAAAAACTGGCAATCTCAGCTAGCAGTGATTCAAGACACTTTTTCCTATTACCTACTCTATCTTGAAATACTTGTTAAAACTTCAAACAGCAAAAGGAATTCAACAAGAGCTGTTGAGCTTTGAGTCATATGGGACTAATCACACATAGCCCTGCAATAGGGCTGAAGGCAGCTGCAGTTCTCAATGTTGTGAACTCATGATGGAGCTCCTACAGCACTATCAGGGCCCAGAGCTTAAATAATCCACACATCACCTAATGCTTTGGCTTGTCCCTGGGTACAGGCTCCCATGGACCTCTTCTCAAGACTAAGAAACTAAGTGCTTTCACTTCCCTGCAATGAAGGATGTCAATCAGCTGGCAGTGACCAGGCGGGAAAGCTGTTCTATTATCTGCTTATATACGGGGTTGGTTTGTTTCTTTCCTATTTGCAACCACAGAGAACCCTTTAAATTTTTGCGAATACCGTACATGGAGGATGAACCCAAACAACTACTGTTTAACACTACAGACCTACTCTTAGTCCAAAACTATGGCAAAGCTGTGAAGAAACTGCTTTACAACGGGATTCTCTCAGTGCTGCTACAATTGCCTCTGCTACTTAGAAGTTCTATGTTGGCTTTTGGGGCTGTAACATACTTCTTTCCACCTTCCTGCTAGCTTAGACAGGGCTCACTGGTGGGCAAAAAAAACACTGCCCATAGGAAACACATGGATTATCTTTGCCTTTTAATCCCTTATAGCATTTCCAATGGGATGTTTAGCCTTCCATAAATCTTTCCACATAAAATCTAACACAGAGGATCTGCCAATTCAGGAATCTCGTTTCATGTAAGATAAGTCTCAAAGCACACTTGAGAGATAGACAGCTCCATTCTTTGGGAAGTGCTTTTCACTTTGAGACCAACATCAACTTCTACCAGGTCTTTGAAGTAGAACAGAAAAGAATTTGTTTGCTTAATCAGTCTAGAACTGTATATGATCTTTCACTATTATTTTCCACAGACATTTTATAAGCCTTCTTCCTTACTTTTACAGATTGAAAAGGATCTTCAGTGAACCAAAGATTCAGCTGGAATTTATTATAGAAACCTAAGAGTGGTAAATGCTATAAAGGGTCTCTCATAACTTTGATAATATAATCAAAATGTAAGACCTAATTTTCCATTCTTCTATACCCCAATAAAAATGACCTTGAATAAATATCAGATTAAGTTGTCAGCATTCTGAAATAAAGTGAGAGTTTGAGTAGGTTTTGTTTTTTGAAATAGACATGCCTTTTTTGAAATGGAGAAGTGCATACAGTACCTGTTGTTATGCTTATGTGGTTCTTTAAAAGTTTTCATAAAGACAACAGGTTACCAGTGAAATATAATATCAGCTCATCACGTTCCTCAGGTGCTCTTCTGCAAAGCTATGAAATAATAGTTCATCTCCTCCTTGGAGAAACCTAGCATGAAATTTTCACAGACGATCACATCAAGGTCTTCCCTTCTCCCACCCAGCTTCATAACCCACCCAACCCTTCCATTTCAGAAGATTCATTTTTTAAAGAAAAGGGGAAAAAAATAAAAGAAAATAAAAAAAACCAGCTTATAAAACAGCAAATAAAATAAAGTTATTTTAATATATATAGAAAGAGAACAAAATGAAACTTGAGGGGAAACTTACTGGCGTTACAGTTTATCCTGATACAGTCTAGATGGGGAAAAATAAATGAAAGATGAAATTGCATCCTTCAAGGTAACAGCTGCAGACATCCAAAAACAATCAGTCCACCCTTCCGGGGACAGACACACGCAAAGAGATGTGGCCATTTTATACTTATATACAGTCTGTACAAGTTCAGGAGTGGGTGTATATGTACAGTATATTCTACATAAGTATCTGTTACATAAATATATATATACACATATATATACACATATGTATAGAGAAATATACCAGTATACATATATATCCACGAGTTGACACAGAAAGCTATTTTTCTGTTACAGAAACCTATGCAAAGAGTATCTTCTACTCCAGACCATGATGTGAATTACAATTAAAAAAAATTGATAATTAAGGCATGAAAAATCTCCTTCAAAACCAAGTCATACTCCAGTCTCATTTTGCTTTTTAAAGACCTTTAGCAATTTCTCTAAGAAGCTTGAAGCTCAAAGTCAACCTTTACACTTGGTTTCTTTTGAATTAATTCGTATTGTTATTGCATAAATACACCATCTGTCCAACACAGAATACCTGTAAAATCAGCCTATGAGATTTGTTGGTGCAATATTTAACCCTTTCCAGCTCTCCCAAAGACAGACCCACTTGTCATTCCCCCAATGCCAGCCCAGAACACTTTCCAGTATGTGCACAGACACATTTGACACTGTCCATTCAGGTGAGGAAAGGGTTAATATACCGCCCAGTTGTGTCCTGTCATAAAATGGCCACTTGCAAACAGCTAACCGCACGAACGCCCAGCCCAGATTTCAGCTAGTTCTGGAGGTTGGGAGTAGTTTTTGGTTTTGTTTGGCAGGGGGAATGAGGATTTCTTTCAAAGGTCCCCAGACCTGCCAGCTCCTCAGAGCCCGATCTCATCTTGCTGTCTGAACGCTAAGATTGAACGGGATGCTTGTAACGTTCAGGGAGAAGACGAAATGGGCAGTGAAGTGGCAGATCTGGGAGCCTTTGCTGGCCCTGCTTTGTTCAGAGGTTAGAGGTGGGGAAGGGACAAATAGGGGTACATGGAAAGAAAGAGTTATGCTTGTGGAATCTAATAAATGGTAACTGAGGAGTCTGCACAAAGAAAACAAGTAGAGGTAGGAGAACCTGAATTAGAGGGCTCCTGAGCATTGCTTCTCTCATTTAACACACTAATGCTCAGCATATCTCAAGATATGACCCATAAGAGGATCTTTTGTTTATGAATGCCTACATACAGCCTTGTGAACATCCATTACTCTGGTGTCAGACAAAGGTGAGTTATCTTACCAGTGCTATTACGTATCTTGGGCCAAGCTGAACTTCTCTCAGAAAATCAAGGCCAGGAATAATAGCACCGTGCTACGGGACACCCTGTCTGGACAACTAAAGCTTTGACCAGCAGGGATGGTCATATTTATTACAGAGATATGGCCCAACAAGAGAGATTATACCGAATGGCAGAGAAATAAAATGCAGTTTGCTGCTTAAGTGGACTAATTTTATGCCTACTGAAACAGATGTAGGAAAATTATTTCAGCAGCTGAAACTAAATGCAGTTCTTAAAAATAGAGTAAGAGTCTATATATAAAAAGCTGTGATGAGCAGGGACACACCAATCAGGAGCAGCATAGCCAGAGAGAGTCTGTTTTGAAGCAGAACTTCTCTTGAGAAAATCTGGGTTTGGTTTTGTGCGATTAGGTTTGTCATGTGTCGTCAACCGCAACAGAAAAGTGGGAGCAAACAGTCCTGGAGCAATTGCTATGATCACCATACAGTGGTGGCTATATCCCTTATAGGAGTTGGGTGGGGTAAGGGAAGCTCTGAAATACATGCTGGGGAACTTCCCACTATGACCTGATGGAGAGTGAGAGAGACTCCCAAGTCTCACTGCAAGCGACTGAGATCAAGAGAGTTGTTACAGCTGGAACAACAGGGGAATTTCTTACTGGCTAAACAGTAAGTGTGCTGGAAGGGGAAACATGGCTGGTTCTCAGCAACATTCATCACAGTTACAAACTAAAACCACTGTTGTGTTATTGATGTGTGCAGCAATACCGAAATAGCTACATGTCCCAGGGCTTACCCTCAGGCTGAGCCACTGGCTGCTCCAGGTGGAGGGATTGATGTTTCAAACTGAAAACCAGCATAGCCCTTATCCTGGCTGCTAGATGTTTATTTCAAAGGACAAGGAGAGACCAGGCCACTGAAGGGGTTGCCTCGACAACTACTACGGCCTTATAAGATCTCCAGACTCTGCGAGCATGAAAGCTCTGCAATGCCATGCAGTGGGGTGCCAGGCAGAAACACCCAAGTGCACTCCAGATGAACCAGCTCCCGAACCAGACTTAGTCCAGTTGGGTCAGTGGAGAACCTGCATGGCAGCTAAGGCGTGCAAGTGCAGCTGCCTGCACTGTTACACCAGCACCACCATATTCTAGTCAGTACCTTCAAGAACAAGCATAGGGGTTTTTTTGGTCATTTCCTTAATTCTGAGCTTTGCCCAAACCAATCCAAACCAGTTTCCAATCATTAATGCATAAATCTGTTTTCCCCCTCTTACATCACTTTTCAGAAAGGAAGATTTTTTCCTCTAAACTAGTACAACTCTACAAATCTAAAGCAGAGGATGCTTTCCCTGGCAGTTAGTTGCAGGTTTAGCCTGGTCTTTGTGCTCAAAACAGCAGCAGTTTGGTAATTCAGGAAAAATTAAAAAAAAACCTGCTTGGGCTTCTTCCTGCACAGTACCAGGGCAATAAGACTTCTGGTAATCATCATCTGGAGCTCCCAGCTGTGTTATCAGCTTCTAATGTAATCCAGAAACTGCTTCCTCAGTGCTCAGATATGTTTTCCAGAGTGTATCACCTGGAAAATGTGTCAAAGACCCTCTCCCTGCAAAAGGTTAAACAGCCACACTACAATTAGCTGACATAAGGGATTCCTTGTTTGAATGGGGATATCTTTATTAACAGGCAGAAGACTGAGAATTAGGCCTGTGTTTGTTACCATTTGTATCTTCGTGCCTGAAAAGAGTAACATTTATTCAACATTGCTAAGACCCCAGGCTGTTTTTTCCTTGAATCAGGAATGCAAGTTACCTTTGCTGTGTGAGGACAGCAGTTGTTCCTTTTGATGAGCACCCACATGTGGTTATGGAAAAGCACTTTAAGGCAAGACTAGGATGAGAAAAATAATCAAGGCCTGACTGTTTCTAAGCTCACTTCAAGTTATTTTCTATTGTGAAACCAGATGAGGTCCTGTGCACGCTCTTATCCCATGTCATAGCAGGGCTCCTTGCCTCTCTGCTACTTGCATGTGGTCAGACTGTGCACCCACCTGTAACCAGCAGCTGACAAATATTTTTGCATGTCTATGACAAAAAAAAAAAAAAAAAAATCAAGAAAAATCAAAGGGCCTTTGTATGTACTGATTATAGGAAAAAAATTTATTAACAAGAAACAGCGTGAATGGGCATATACTTGCAGGTCTGAAGGTCTGAGTGTATGATTTGCACAAAAGGAAATTTGGCATAAAAAGTTCACACACATATAAAACAGAAAAACAGGAAATGTGCCTGCTCTGTTCGTGTGTAGGACTGACAAAAGAAACTTTGCATTTTGGAGAGACAAAGATGTCTTTCACACCCTTAAGGAGGTATCTTAGGAAAAGATAGGTGAGAGGGATGATTACACTTCCTTACCAGAGAATTGACTCAGATTAACAGGGGGCAGGAAGCATTTATTCTAGTCATCAGTGATCTAAAGATAAACCAGGCCAGGGAGAAAAACCCTGAACTACTTATTCTTTAATACAAGTCAGTGACACTACAGCCTTTCCACTTGTGAATGGGAGTAAAAATGTGAAGGTGGATCTCCCTATAAGACCAGCCATTTCTTTCCCTTTTCACACACCTTCTCAGCATCAGAAGTGATTCCCAAGCATGTTCCAAGCCATGATTTGCTTAATTTCCCTCTCTCTCTCTCCTTCCACGCTAGACCCATTTCTTCAGAGTGCTTCTCAACAGAAGTGAGATTTGTATCACATTTGCACTTGTAATCTTCACACAACAAACACTCAAACTACTGTGAGACGTGCTGTCAACATGCAGAGTGCAGTGCCTTGGGCACTCACATAGGAAAGGTCTGGAACAACTTCCTTGCTCCTCTTCCTTAGAGAATTATTCATCACTGTTCTTCCTTTCCCACCCACCTCCTACAGCAAGCAGCCAGCTACCCATGCCCACCCTGCCTGCTGTATGATGTTTCTATCCCCTGTTTGGTTTGGACACTGAGGGCTGAGGGGGTGAATGGGATATGCCAGCCCCTGCAGGCTGCTCTATGCGCTCTGTTCTCAGGGCTGTTTGCTGTGCGGGCCGCAGGCTTCAGGCCTTTGAAGGGTTGAATACCATCTTTTGATTTACCATGGCTGATGGGGTATGGGAAAGCTTTACAACTGAAATACACACAAGATTTTAAAAAAAGAAAAAAGAAGGAAAAACAAAAAGAAAAAAAACAAAAAGAAAAAACAACATAGGAAAGTCCTTAATAATCACACAAATGATAATAAGTAATCAAATGGAATAGATCAAAGAAGAGAAGAGACAGCTCTTAGTAATAGTATTAAATGACTTGTAAGAAAAGCACAATGAAATAACTCACCACTCAAAACAGTCTTTGTTTATACCCATCTGTCAAGGGTTAGACACTCAGGGGGATGCTGACATGTAGCTAGTCAGCACCAAGCATACTCAGGTCTTCAGAGGTGGTGCTGATGACTGTTTCTCACTGGTAAGGGGATTTTGGCAGGGTCAGATAATGAAGTATTGGTTCTTGTTTGTGATATCTTGGCTATGAACAGTCTCCTTAAAGAGTTAGATGTGACTTACAGTAAACAACTGAAAATGAATGGCTCTGGTAAGGGTCATTCCTCCTCAAATTCTGTTTCTTCTTCCTTTTTGATAAAAGGAAAGTCCTGTTTCAAGAGATATATCTGACAGCTTTATAAATCTGAAGAGAGGAGAGGTGAAGCACAATCCAGCTTCCAACAGCCTAAACTACCCTTCTTCTGAGTTGGGCATAGAAGGAGAGTGCTGACAGGTTTTCTCTTACGCAGCCTGTAGTCACTTTTGGGGGAGTATTCAACCTCACAAAAGATTCCAGCTGAAAAGCTGGCAGATCTGGCACACAAATTGCTTCAGTCCCTGCAACTAACACAAAAATAACCTTCAGTTAACACAGGGTTTGGTTTACAGATTTTGTCCCTGTGTTAAACCATCAGTGACACATCTCTTTCCAAGCATGTGTAGACCATAAGTTAATTCTGTAGCCATATCTTTTAGATGCCAGGCAGTTAAGAGTTAACATTCCACCTCCAGGTTAGGTGATGATGTAACAGACCCCAGTGAGTGTTAAAAGTGACCAGTGCTAATCTTGCACTTTCAAAGCCAAAAAGACACACAGAGAAGTTTCTACAAACATGCTAGTTCTAGAGGAAAATTGCTGGACAACGTATTGCCCAGGTGAGGATGAGGAACCTTAAAATCACCACTCAGGCTCATCTATAGTGCAACAAGACCTTGCACTGACTCAGAAGTTCTTCTCAGTTATATTTCAGGATTCACATGAAGCAACAAGTTGCTTCACTGAAAAGTGAAAGAAAGCTTTAACTCATATTTGCATTTTAAAAAAATGTTTATATTTGTCACTCAGTACAATATTTAAAGACTGGCAAGAAAACAGATTGAGGCTAATCTAATAGCACATTTACTCCCTTTTTTTATTGTTGTTATTGTTGGACTTGTTTTTGTCTTTTTTATTATTTTCTGGGAAAGCGTAACTCTAAGGAGACAGAACACAACCCTTTGGAATGGTGAGGGGGTGTGCACTTTTACTATCGTTGTCTTTAGTTTAATAAAGACAAAATAAAAAAAAAACCCAAGCTTTTTAGTAGAGGCTGAAATAAACAGCAGTTAGAAAATAGAAATAATTAGAAAATTAGTAAAAGAGACCGAGTTGTATAAAATTGTGCCAAATGATGTAAAGAGCATGGGATTCACAGGACTTCTGCTTGACACCATACCCATTTCACTTCCCTCCCATGTTTAGCTTTGACTGTTTTGAATGATGATGGATGAATGAGGGATGTAACTGATCAAAAGATGGACCAAGCAGCATGTCTCACACAGAGCTCACCAGTCCCAGAACAAGAAAGGAAACTTAAAAACTTAAATACTTAAAAACCAACACTGTTCATAACGGAGAACTGACAGCAAATCTTCATGCAGCAATGCAGAAGAGAATTTCTCTCCGCAAGAGAATATCATTATGAAGATCTCAGCAGTTATTTTAGAAATCAATCCAATCAAACCAACAGAAATTAAATAGAATTATTAAAAAAACATTAATCACAAGCCCAAAATAATAGTGAAGGGGCAGTGGAAGGTTTTTATACGATACCTAAATTAACCATAAGTTTGACACGGCCACCGTCCAGCTCCAAGCGCAGAGTGTCAGCAGAGTCTCGTGAGGTGGTTGCCATCAACAGCCCATAAGCACGCTGGGACATGAAACGGAAGGACACATCTTCTGCTTCTGTATGCATGACCATAGGCATGATGATCTTCATATACATGCTGCCATCATAGCTCAAGATAGAGGCCTCTGCAAGCAATTAGCAAACACATGCAGAAAATGAAAGGAAGTTACACCTCTGCACTCTTCACTCCTGAAGAACCCTGACATCCATCAGGGCACTGTGTTTACAGAAACCATACCACTTGCCACAGAAAGGTTTGTAACTGGGAAAAACCACAGCAACTCTTTAACTGCATTAGGCAACCCTACATGGCAAGCATGAGCAACAAACAAAGATACTGTATTCACTCCAACTGGAGGTAGCAGTACCCATGGAGACACAATCCCTAAAGACAAGTGTGTTAGCACATGGGCCTTTTGCGATAATGAGCTGACAAAGCCTCCGTTTTTCACATCTTCCAGAATATGCAATCTCTTCTATTAGTCCAGCCTTCCCTAGCACTAGCTGTAATGACCACTTAAAATAATGTCTACAACACTTCTACTAGCACATTTAGTCTTGCCTTTGAGGGCTCAGAGTTCCTATTTCTGGTACTTTTAAGAGATGTTGCTTATTTAGAGAGAAATTCCATTCCATTACTAGCACTTTAAAGACAAAACAACTGCATGAAGCAAGTTTCCTAGCAGGTCTTTTCTACATCAGATTTCTGCTGGTTTGTGATTTTATATTTTTGTCCTCCTTACTAACAATTACTATTAGTACAGCTCTGCTGACACAACCGATGGCACTGCAATGCAAATGAAGAAAGGAACAAACTAAACTGCACTGCAAGTTTAAGTGTCATTCAAACACAGGAAAAAATCAGGAAATGGAGGTGCAATGAAAGCCAGGAGGTGGGGAGGGAGGGGGAAAAATAAAAAAAAACAGCAAGGAAAGAAAGAAATAAATTCAATTTTTCTATCATCTCTGAGGATGTCAAAGAAAATGGTAAGTTCAGCTGAGGAAAGGAGTTAAAGTACTTAACATTCTCTATTTGTTCAGGGTCTTGCCTGCAGAAACTAATATTGTCCTCTAAGGGAGTAGAATTGAAGTCTTGTGATAGAACTGCAGCAACCACTACAGCATGAAAATCATTGTTTTAGTGCAGGAATATGCTCCAAAACATTTCTATCCACAAATTTACAAATCTACATAAATATTAATGCATGAATTAGAACATCCCTTCTCCCCACAGTCTAAATGTTAGATGATGGAGTAGGGTAGATGGATGGGAAACTGAGGAACAGCCATATGTCCATGCTGGAAAGGACTCATGGCTGGCTCCACAGTGGCCAGTAACAGAACTGCAGTGTGTAATAAATATGCAAATGAGGTGATAAATAAGAATATAAGTAGCAAGCTGATAAAGTGACACAGGAGACCTGCATATGGCTACAAAACGTTTGGTTGTGATAGTGCAGCAACCCACTGCAATAATAGTTGGTATGCAGCACCTCTCTGGTCATGGCACATATGAACCTAAAACTTACCTGGAAGCACTATTAAAATCACATGGCTGTGAACAGCATCCCTGTTTTCTTAGCTGCACTCCCCACACGCTGCCATGGTCTGTACACACAAAGCTCTCTACATGCAACACCCACTCAGCCATACATGCACCTTCTGGGTACCAGCTGCCAGTGCTGCCCTGGGGACTCATATCTTCGCTTAGCCAAGAAACAGAGAAGGAAAGAAAGCTGCTTTTTCAAGGTGGGGGAATTGTTTCTTCTTCTCAAAGTGCAATTCTCTTCCCCCTCACGTCTGCACCTCCTACTTGTCACCCACAGCTGCAAGCTGGAACTAAATGTACTGTATATTATACCTACACTCAAAGGCAATGTGTGCGTACACACAAACCCTCCTTGCTCTCTTTCCACCCTCTCCCTCTGTGGATTGTATTAGAAAATGCAGTCAAGCATGAAATGGCTCTTTTGACGCCTTCAGCTCAGATGTGCCTTGCATGAAAGAGCTGCTTGCCCTAGCACCTGAAGAAGTGGGCCGGAAGATCAGGACTACAAGTGGGAGTAGCTGACACAAGTGCCCCAGCTCTGCTGCTTCTTTCTTCATAGCACCACGTTAGGTTCTTTGGAAACAGAAAGTTTGGAAAGTTTTTCTGCAGACATTAGAAGACAACAAATCAAAAGTGTTGTAACAATAAGTCTCTTCCCTCAACAAGAATTCATGTCTTCTCCACTGATCTCACCGCCAGAAAATTACTGTCTTTAGAGAAGAAATCCCAACCATTATTATTAGACTTACGTAATACTAACCCGAAGAACACCCAGAATTGCTGAAGATAAAAGTCTAGACAGTGTTTGAACTGACATCCCACAGTAGCCTAGATCAGATATTACTGTCCCTTCTCTGTTACAAACACGGAGCAATGAATCCTTGTAACAATTAAGCAAATAAAATTAAATAGCCTGGAACAGTTGAAACAGCCTCTGCATAACCATAGAAGATGAAAGTTTCTGTTCTTGTGTGTGCCCTGTGCTGACCTGAGCTTGGCCCAGCTCAGACCGCTTATGCACTTGACATCTTTTTAAAACAAAGAGATTTCATTCTCACTTTGCAAGTCTTCACCGTCTGCAGTATCTGGGAGCTTTGTCAGCACATCTCCTTGCAAGCAGACCATTCCCTGAAGCTACAAAAACACCCCTTCAGGGAAGGCTATTTCCTAGTAGCAGTCATACAAATAAAATCTGTTTCCTTGTCCAGACAGTTAGTGCCCAAAACCCAAGGCAGGCATGTTACAGCTCAGCAACACATACAGCAAATCTGCTCAGAGTTGAATGCAACATGGCAACAACTTGGTGACCTCAGCCTCCTAGGCACCTGTGCTGGTGACTTCTACCCGAATACAGACATGCATTTGATTGTCTCCTCAGCCATCTGCAGCAATGGGACTATAATCCTTTTGTTCAGCACCATAAATACAGGCAGCGGGACACTTAGTTTCCCAAGTTTAAAATACATGCACACTGCTTCCATCCTTCTGTTTTTAGGCTAGCTATTATGCTTGGATGTCTCAGACATGCACAGGAACAATGCGTGAAACTGTATTTCAGAGACGGACAGATCTGTGCAGACAAAAAGAACCAGAGTGGCATTTATTTGTGATCCCAAAGCCAGAAGCTTCATTGCCATTAGCTTGGAGATGGGAAGAGGAAGAAACCAGGTGCTGATTCAAAACCACCCTGATATAAAGCCAAAGAACTGTGAAAATCAATATGTTATTAGGAGCAATTAGCTTCCAAGTCTTGCGCTCTGAGACCCTGCCAACTTTAATTTTACACTTAGCATCCAAAAGAGCAATTCACTGCTGCTTCCCCACAGGGCTCTGCATAAACCTCCTGGGGAGACAGCAACAGGCATATTCTTAGAATACAGACAGAAAAATATTCAAGACCTCTTCATGCTCTTTCTCTTGCTTCCTAAACCTCTCTCTTGTATTAATCTCCATTCTTTCCTCTTTCCTTTCTTCCCCCTTTTTTTTCCTGTAGTCTCTTGTTCTTCCCTGGGGTCTCTTTCCTCTGCCTCCTGGACTAGAATATAGCTTTCTTCCTGAAATTTCCAGAAAGATGACAATGTAAAAGCAGGAAAAAACATCCACCTTTCATAAAAAGTTTAGCTGAAGTCACCAATGGCAGCAGTTCAGGGAACAAAACATACGCTCTAGCTACATTTGTGAGAGTCAGCTACGGCTACCTGCTCCCACCGAGCAGAGCTTCCAGAGACAAGTGCCACCAACTGGAAAGGCACAAGACACCTGGAAAGGAGCAAGCATGGAAAACAGGTTCAAAACCACCAGGGAATACAGACCAAATGCTTCCATGAAAATATTTCTTGCCAGAATTCAGATATCTTTAAAGAAAAAGTGCCAAAGCTTTGTATCCACAAACCAGAAAAGCTTTCCTGTAGGCATTACATTCCCTCCCATATCCACTAGCAGGCACATGGCGACAAATAAATACAGCCTTAATTTTCTGAAAAATCAGAATTATACTTAAACAAACAAACAAACAAAAAAAACTGGCGGGGAAGTGAACAAAAGGGCCTAAGAAAAAATAAAAATCCTCATTCCTGTCCAAGTGGATTCCATACACATGAGTATCAACAACAGAAGTCTCCCAAGTAATTTGGGAAGCCCAAATATAATCACCCAGACTGAAATCTGACTATGACCCAGGAGATAATGCTCCTTTTTATGGTTGCAAAAAAGCTGTCGGAACTTTAAGTGCTCACAAGTGGTTAAGACCTTGCACGTCTCCCGGCAGGACAGGAGCTGGGAGCTGTGGGGCTCCCCACACCAGGCCTGTCCTACAGCCCCAAGGAGGTGAGCACAACAGAGCTGCAGATGGTGGCCATGTCCAACCAAGAGCCCAAGAAACATCATGGCAATGAGGCAGGTCCAAGGTCAGGCCAGGACTAAGATGTGGCCCTGACTGTGGGCAGGATGGGGGAGCCCCGGAGACTCCGCAGGGCCTGTTGTGCCCTAAAAGACCCTGGGGATGTGGAGCCAGCGGTACCATGCTCTGGCACTGCTTCTTGTTGACCCAGAAGAAAAGTTCATGTTTATGTATGAGCTATGACACCTTTCTCAGCAAACTGGATCTTCCCTGGATGCCTCCCATCTATGTGCAACTGGGTCTCACCTTACTTAGCCTGCCAAGTAGGAAAGAGCAACTCAAAGGGATGTAAATGTAATTCTGTAGCATTGAACACAATTACATTTACAAATGTAATTCTCCCTAGAGAACGCAAAACCCTCTTTAAATACCCACTTATAAGTATGGGGTTTATTAGCAAAATACCCTGCAAATAATATCACTAATCATCCACTGAAAGGTTTATAGTGCTAGTAAGGACAAAGCTATTCCGGTTTAAAGATCTCAGCCTGACAAGGTGTCAAAAGCATTATCATCAGTTGTTACGTACTGGAAACTCATGAAGATAAAACAATTAAAATTTTGGACACATACAACGACAGAAATGTAAAGAACCTGGTCTGGTTTTGCCAGTGCTTAATCTCCCTCACAGACTAAAGTATTTTTGCAACATCAATTCCAATTTTTCTTTGCTTCAA